AAGATGTTTCACTGTTTTAAAATTAACATGCGTATTCCCTGCTTCTTGCTCAGTCCAGTAAGCTCACGCGTTTTTTTCAGTTTTTACCCAAAGCGCCGGATCAGTACTGGGCGGGTTATCCGAAGAACCTCGCCCTTCCATTTTCTTTGGTTTTTATTTATTGTTTTGATTGTAGTGTTTTAAAAATGTCTTCCAGTTCCAGTGTAGGGTGTTCCTTACAAAATTAAAGTTCATCAGTCTTTAGGAGGGCAGAATTGCGTTTTTATTATGCCCTTATCCGTATTTTTGCTAGAAAATGGTCTCAAAAAAACAAAAAACCCCACAATATTTACAAAACTTTGGCATACTAACATCAGCTCCACACCTGCTGTCTCCTTTATTGGAATCCGTACCTTTGGAAGTCAAATGTAAAACTGTGAATTTGAACATAAAATTCAGTCAGTGATTCTTAGAGATGATTTGAGGTTTTTGAAGTGAGGTTTTGTTAAAAATAATGTTAGAAGTGGTAGCCACAGGGGATATCTCTTAAGTGTCTTTATTCAGTATAAACCCAGATTAGCTCGTACTGGAGGGTCCGAAATGGATTTTCAACATATTATATCCTGTATTGGAGTTATTTACACAGAAGCTGCACACCCACACACAGTTAGCACCACCCCCAGTTATCTTTTCAGACCGACTGTCCAGTCTTGGTCCTTCAGGGCCAATGTCCATTAGATTTTAGATGGGTCCCTACTCCTAATTTGAAGACCTTCCCCTCACATCAGAGTTGCATAAAACTCCAGATGCCACTCGAGTTTGATTTCTAGGTGTGCTAAACCAGAAAATAAAATAAAATGAAAATATGACTGGTTGGGACACCATAGTTCCATCCCAATGGTTCATATCTAACCATATGGTTCATATCTTTAAAAAAAAAAAAAAACTAAACAAAAACAGTTTGAATCTCAAGTGATTAGTCATTTGATGAACTGAAGTACAGGTTCTGGTTTTGCAGTGTTCTTAAGTATTTACTTTGGAAATGTGATTGGTAAAGATTGGGTTTGCTGTCCGAAGGCAAAATTATCTATTTTAAAGTTGAAATATGGTCACCTTTTCCTTTAATTGGTTAGATTAATTATAGTATGTTATAAATGTAGAATCATTCAAATACAGGTCAATATAAACTTCAACAGCATATTCATAATTTTTCTTACACTTCTCTCCTAATTATTCAACAGTTACAAAGTCAACCACAGTAATAAACCAGTTGAAATCCTCAGTATTACATAAGTAAACAGAACCCCCAAATGCCAATGGATGGTAAATGAACCAAACTTAGACAGCACTTTTCCAATCATTTCAATTGGATCGATCACTCATTTTGACCACTCACAGCGCTTTATAGTCAATTCAAACACATTTATACAACTTAACGTTAAGTGCCTTGCCTCAACATCTGGCAGGAGGAAGTTGGAAACGAACCAACAACATTCCCATCACAAGATGATTACTCTATCCACACAGTCACCCCACAACAGATATACACTGACCTTATGGTAGTTAACATCAACTACAGTATACAGGGTGACTTTATAAACTGATGGAAGGTATTTGTATTCAAACATAAAGCTTACAGTGATTTACCAAAACATGAAACCTTTATTTTTCATTTATTTCATTTTTACAAAATAGCCCAACAATGATCAGTTAAGTGCACCTTGGAATGCTTGTTGGTAAAGTGGACCCAGACTCATGACTGCATTAACGGTGTTCTGGTGCATTAAGATGGCAGCCAACCAATGCAAAATGTGCTCTCTTTTTCTCTCCAGACTGCAGCGTTCTTACTGAAGGGAGAAAAAAAAATAAAAAAATAAAAAATGAAGCGGCCCGCACAATTCCTCCGATATCACGACCCCGGTCCGTCCATCCCCCACCCGTCCATTTTAACGAGTTACGCTCTACTCTTTGGGGACTGCAAATGGCTTCTCCACCTCGATCTTGCCGCAGTCGTGGATGGTGACGTCTTTGAGAGGTTTGTCGCGACCGTCTGTCTTTGTGTTCTCTATTTTTGTGACGACATCCTAGCAGAGGAAAAGAAAGTTTCAAAGAAATGGATTCATTGTTTAAAAAAAAGAAAACCAAAGATTAGGCAGAGTGAAGACTTCCTTCCGATACCCACCATGCCTTCCAGAACTTTCCCGAAGACGACGTGTTTGCCGTCCAACCACGGCGTCTGGACTGTGGTGATGAAGAACTGGGAGCCGTTTGTGTCTTTGCCGGCGTTGGCCATGCTGAGCCAGCCGGGGCCGTAGTGCTTCAGCTTGAAGTTCTCGTCAGGGAAACGGTCTCCATAGATGCTCTTGCCTTCATTCAGAAAAGAAAACTGGCTTTTTATCATTCATAGACCTGTACTGCAGTTTTAAATAGTACTCTCTTAGGTTTCGACACATGAACCAACTCATCGCTTTGACATGCAAGTGACATCGTTAGGCGTTTACCTCCAGTGCCGTCTCCTCTGGTGAAGTCTCCGCCTTGGATCATGAACTGTTTGATGACTCTGTGGAACTTGCTGCCCTTGTAACCGAATCCTTTCTGTTTAAACAAAGCAAACAGCAAAGTAAGCAACGCTCCAAATGTCTGAAACGACGCCAGCTTCACGTACGTCTGAAAAGCTGGACCAAGTCAACGCATCGGATGGTTTTTCAGTCTTTAGATTACCAATCCTGACAACTTCACAAAAGTAGATAAACAATAACGAGTCTCCATATTGCTCACCTCTCCTGTTGCCAGGGCGACGAAGTTGTCGACGGTTTTGGGAACAGTTTTGCCGAAGACGCCGATGACGACCCTTCCCACGTCTTCGTCTCCGATTCTAATGTCAAAGTAAACCTAGAGAGAGACCCAACCTTACGTTCAGATGAATACGTCATGACACACCAACTCTGAGGCGACATTGGTGGGCCGGGATATGACATAGCAAAGTTCTCTAAAAGTTTTGGAAGTGGTCAAATACATTCTGTTCAGTCAATTACTGATGTCAAAGTCTTTCACTTGACACAATATTAAGATATTGTGGCAGGCCAGAAGTCAGGTGGAAGAGTCCGTTTACATGACAACTGCAAGTTGTGAACTTAAAACCGTCTAAGAGTAGCGATACAAAAAGGGTATTGCTAGAAAGCCCACTTGGAGCTTGGCACAAGACACACACGCCTCGTTTCCATTGACCGGTACGACATGGTCGATGTGGTAAGCCGTTTTATGGTCCGGCGTATTCAGGAGAGCGTTTCCACCCAAACGCGTCACATTAGTGCGACGGTAAACGTGACGCATTACCGTTTTTCGTTCTTCCTGCAAACTGTGACGTTTCTCTGTCCCCCAATCAGTGGACTGCGTTGTATGACGCCAATGCGCCACCCTACCCGTACCACTGTCCTATATTCGTATAACTGAAGGGAGTCCAGGAATGGCGGGCTATGGATCGGATGCATCAGCCGTTTTTACAATGGAAAACACAAAGGAAGTACGCTCAGTGGAAACGAGGCGTTGGGTGGAGAGGAATTTGCTCTAGTCGGATGAAACTAAAATTGGTACTTTTTGGCCAATAGTCAAGAGCCAGGGGTTGAAACGGACCCGGCAATCTCTTAGTGCAAAAATAAAAACTCACTAGTTGTGAGGAGATGTACTTTAGTACACCAGAAATTTGGCCTATAAAAAGTACTGGGTTTGTGGCTGACTTGGTCAAAAAGCCAGATTAGTAGTTACCTCCCCCATCTACTTCATTGCTTCCAAAGAAAATATGAGTCTCGACAGATTTCCCCCATCAATAGGCTCTTTATTTCAGACATCAGAATTTAGCACGATAAAAAAAACGGATTTCTGCATTATTTTTTAAGTTAACGCAACACAAGAATAGTAAAAAAAAAAAAAAAACACAAACAGTCTCTTACAAAGGTTATAGGGACACGTGTAACACCAGACTCAATCCTTGCCTTCTACGCTTTGCTTCACAGCGCAACACCACTAAAGACGACCGCTCTGCTGTCTTGAATTTGCAGACGTGGACAATCCGCTGCAGACACAAGGCCACGGTCAGCAGCTGAGCCATGGCGGAGCCAAATTCGTGTCCACTTCATTTCCTGCGACTCGGATCCGACAGGATGCGCCTAGACTTTCTTTCTATTAGCCTCAGCTACAAAGTTAGCTTCTTTTCCCACAAGTGTTAGTCGTGAGCTAACCCCGTGCTAGCTGGCCAACAGCTAGTATCTCCGTGACGTGGCTTTCCATGCTACCGGTTAGCGACGAGGAAAAGCCCTGATTTTTTTTCACCCCCCTTTATGAAGCTAGCCTGCAGCTAATCCATACCTTTGCAGTTACTTTGGGGCCTTTCTTCTTCTCGTCAGCAGAAGAGCCATTAGGGAAGCCCAGAAACAGCAGCGAGCCCACAATGACGGTGACAGCGACGAAGAACTTCATCCTTCTTTCACAGAACCTCACCATCAACGAGAGAAAGGGGGGAAACACTTAGCCAGTAGACAGTTGGTTGCGCTAGCTTTATATAAACTCCGTGGGAGGGACGGAGCGCAGGCTTCAGGTGGGGGAGGGTCTGCGACCCACGGGAACCAGGAGGCTCAGCTTCAGGACGCAGGGGCGGGATTTCACCGTGGTGGGAAGCTGTGATTGGTTTACGTCTTAGAACGTTTCAGCCAATTGGATGCAGACGCGTAACAACGGTTTGTGAGCAGAAGAAACGTGGACGAAGCGTCTCATATAAACAAAAGTCCCTGAAGACTTTTAACCCTTTTTATTAAAACTATATATGAATAGGGAGCAGTGTCATATTATTTTCATCTACATATCCAAATAACAAATTCAATTATTTAGGGATATGCGAGTAAACTGGTTGAATATAAATTTGTGCCAAACTATGTGTAAATTTTTTTTCCTTCATTTCACCACTACTTTTCATTGGTCTATCACTCAAAATCAATATTAAAATATGAAGGTAAGTGGTCGCTGTATTAACGAAATGTGAAAAAAACCACTGGTTTATTTAAAACATAACTCCATAGTTACAATAGATCCTAATCATTTAAAAATAAACAAAAACATAAAACGAACCCAGATCAAGCTCTTAAAAAAATAAAATAAAAAGCAACCCAAACCACCCATTTCCCTCCATCCACATTTTAATGACAACCTACAAGGGAATTAAACATGACACTGACAACAAAATAAGTAAGGATTGTGTTTGCAAAAATACACCTAATAATAATAATTAAAAAATGGGAGGTTAAGGTTACATTCACCTCCGCAGGCTCTCCTGCCACCTACCTTCACTAGTGCAAAGAATCCCCTTTTCTGAACTAAAACGCTGCGTGAACGTTTTCATGACAGGTTTGCATTAAGACTATGATTATTGCATGCCTTCGGAGGCAGTCTGAGGTAAACAAATGGAGTGTTGTGTATGCCTAACATGAGTCTTCTTGAGTAAGAACAGCATTTTTTTTTCATAAATCATGTTACATAACTGTGTCATCAAAAAAGGGAACACACAGAACGAAAAGGACAACACCACAAAGTATCTGATCACAGTCGTGACTTGTTAATCCATGCCATCTTAATATCCAATATCCATAAGGGAATCTTCACGTTAATTAGCTGGCATTGGCATATAGACTGATATTTAGGCCAAGAAAGAAGAACCCGCTTCAGAAAAACATTTGAAATAGCTGTTTTCTGGCTATGCTCGTGTACTATTTAGCTTAATAAAAATAAAGAGGAAGAAAAAAAAAAAGACTGCTATTGAGCCATAAAGCTCAGATGTTTTTGCTATAGAGGAAGTGATTTGGTAAAACAATGACAACACAGAAAAAACAGGATTCCTACCCGTTTTCCAGTTCAAAACTCCACACAATTCTTAAGATTCACCCACAAATTGAATAGGATTACCCATGGCAAATAAAAGCACGACACAGCACAATGCTGAACATGTTGATAAAGAAGAAAAGGATTACTTCACCACTTTGAAACATTTCAAAATCCGTAAGATCGAGAATGTAAAATCCTAATCTTAACACAAATTGAAAAAAAATTTTTTTAATGCCTCTTTTTGATTTTTTTTCTTCATTATCTAGTTAAAGCTGCAGTATGTAACTTTAATTAAAAACATTTATATATATATATATATATATTACACATTTGTTTAAACTGTCAAAGTCCTTTGTGTGCTTCTAGTGCTAATCAGAAACTAATCAGAGCCAGGAGGCGGGTCTTAGTGATGTCAATCATCCTCCTTGTGCTCATTACCACATGATCCACTAGGCCGCAGCTAGCCTGCTATGACAGCAGATAAGTGGTTTTTCTGTAACTGTAAGTTGTTTCTATACCATTTAGTGAATATTCAGCAAATACATAGACTTGATTAACAGCGCTCAGACCCTCCTCCTGGCTCTGATTGGTTGTTTTTGAAAGGGAGTCGTGCATTTCTTCAGATCACAATAAAAGCTCAGGCAGGAGATCAATTTTTTCCACAGATTATCCATCTCATATCAGTGTCACCACATGGTGACAGTTTTAACAAATATGTAAAACTTTTTTTTTTTTAAATAAATGTTGCATACTTTAGCTGTAATAAAGGAATAAACCATGGAAGCAAAAATGTTCCCTTACTATCTACTTTGAAAATGAGCAACTTTTATATGCTTTTAAAATTTTGCTGACGGTGAAGGAACCCTGTTGTAATCTCACCATTAGAAAAAACGATCTCGCTGGTCAGACTGGTTGAAGTCAAGCACTCAGAAATGGTTGATGACCAGAATAAGACGAACGTTCAAGTAAACGTTAGATGTGAACGCACCCAGAAGGATTTCTCAATTGGATTTCCACCACAAAGTTTCAAGTTTACGCAGTACCTCTGTCAAAGGGCAACGCTAATCTAAAGTTTCATACCATTTTCCTATAAAATATGAATAAAGGATTTCATAATATTGAAGGCACGGCATACTAAAAGATATGCAGGTTAAAGAAAACATAGCTGTGAAGGTTAAACTCTTTGGAGTTTGGGGAGATGGCTTGGAGCTGTGCACAGTGCGTCGAGTCCGGCTGCGTGGCGGCTCATCAAGATCCAGTTCTGCCTGCCTGCTTCTTTAAGAAGGTCGGGACATCATCATCATCATCATCATCATCATCATCATCATCATCATCATCATCAGGCAGGATTTCACACTGATCAATTAAACAGAACAGATCTTTGGGGCAAAAGGAAGGAACGTGAATCGGGACACTAATCTGGCTCAGAGGCGAGAGAGTTTCCCAGTTTTGTTTAGCTCCTCCCGTTAGCATTAGCGTGGTGGAGCCTCTAAAACGGATGCTGGCTCGTTAATTCGGAGTAAACTAGTCCCTCCGCAGAGATGGCGTCCCCCAGCCCCACTGTCCGGAGGGGTCTCTTGCAGACCAGCACAGGCGTCAGGTGGAAGGTGATGTTCCCTCGCCGCCACACAGCGACGGGCTCCTCCGGCTTCAGCGACAGCCGCTCCCGCGGCTCAAAGTGAGAGGTGAGGAACTCTAGCGGCGCCTTGAGCTCCACCTTGCTGACGTCCACGGTCTGAAGGCCGCAGGCCTGGCTGCTGGCCACCCGGGCTCCCGCCATCACTGCCGCCGCCTGGTTCCCCCAGTAGCCGTCCACTGTGGCTAAAATGTGATAGGCCAGAGTGTGGAAGTGGATGCGGGTGAGGTCGGACTCCGACGACGGATCGATGCGGCCGTGCCACTCCAGGACCCAGGAGAGGATGTCGCTGACCCGTCCCACTTCGGGGACGCCCTTCCACGCGGGCAGAGTGGCGTGCGGGCCGTCACCGGCCTGCGACAGGAAGAGCAGCTCCTGCTCGTTCAGTCCAATGGAGCTGACGATGGGCAAGACCTGCTAACAGGAAGAGACGCTGTAATTAAACGCACGGCGTTCCTCAGGGAGTCATCGAGCACGTCGGTCTGCTCTCACAGACGGAATCGTTCGCTCACGTGTACCTCCTGCATGATCCGGCTCATGAAGTCTTTGTCGGTCATGCTGGCCAGCTCCAGGTGGATGGGAATGCCCCTTGGGATATCAGCTATGGCTGCTACAGCCTGAGAAAGAAAACCAGAAAGGAGAAATCCAGAAATAGATCCAGAAAGTTTTCATTAGAAATCACCAGGATTTCCCCCGATGTATTACAAGCCTGGTGGGCTGCTAGGGTTATAAGTCAGGTTTTTAGTAATGCTTCTTTCAAAGTTGATGGATTGAAAAGGGAGTGAGGGATGTGCTCCAATTGTGTAGTCGCTGTGCTTTTGTAACTTTTAAAATTGTTCAAACATAAAACATAATGTGCTGCTGTTGGACTGATCTACCGAGCCTCCCACCCGGCATAGCAAGTTTTTTGGGGCAAACCCTGGAAACCATGCTGAGCTCTTTTGAGCGGCTGACCTCTTTCAGTCGCTCCCCCCACAGCTCCCGGCCCTGGCCCTCCATCATGTGGAACCCTGACAGGACGACCAGCTCCGGCTGGAACTCCTCCAGGCTCGCCACGAAGGTCTCCAGGGAGCTCATCCCCCCGTTTGACACATCGTGAGAGAAGATGAAGCGGTTTGCTTGTGGCGCCCGAGTGGAGCCCCACTGTTCACCTAGAAAGCAAGGTTAAACATTAGTCAGCCCGCTCGTCACGGGCCACACACTACTGATAGCATTTTGGCTAACGTTAGCATTGCTGTTAATTTGAGCTTCTATGATAATGTTTGCATACTGACTGAATGGAGTAAATCAATGATAGTCGACATGCGACTGTCGACTATCTAAATTTAGCTAAAATGTTAATTTTATATAATTTTTATACAAATGCGAACTTAATATACTGAATGGAGTCAGTCATTGTCAGTCAACATGCTAGGATAACATAAGTTTTGGTAACTTTAGCATTTTTGCTAAATTTACATTTTACACTTATTTGCTTACTAACTACAGTGAGTCAATGACAGTCAACATGCTACAGATGGTCCATATGCTACTGACAGCATTTTAGCTAACCTTAGCATTTCAACTAATTCTGGGCATTTTTATGACATGAAACAAAGAGAGACACAATTATCTGTTCTTTTGAGCTGCTGAGACTTTGAAACTCAAACTTGAAGCCTGCAGAAGCCAACTCTGCATCAGAACCCGATTCGAGTCCGATTAATACACACGCTTTGAAATTTCCTGTGTCAAACTCCAGTCCTGGAGAGCCACTGCCCCGCAACCTTTACATGTGCCTCTGTTGCACCACACCTGAATAGAATAATTTGGTCATTAGCAAGGCTCTGGAGAACCGATCTACACAGGAAGGAGGTAATTAAGCCATTTCATTCCAGCGTTTTGTACCTGTAGCACATCAAAAAACTGCAGGACACCAGCCCTTGAGGACTGGAGTTTGACACCCCTTCCAATAAAATACATTACAGCTTATAAAATTAAACACACTTTTTGCGCATTCAAAAGTGTCGGGAATGTTTGCTTGGCACAGAGCTGCAGCTGCTTTTCCCTCTTTACCTGCTTTGTACTCCAGGATGAGGTGAAACTCATCCGTCTCCTGAAGAGACTCTGGAGGAACGACGATCTGCTCATCCAGCATCTCGTGGAGTTTAGGCCCGACCGGACCGCACAACAAAACCTGAAGTACATCATTAACAATTAGCTTATTTCAATGGTCAGAACTCTGGGTTACAGAAGATAACTTGATAAGAAGATAAGCTAAATTTTTATTTTTTTGTGATACTTTTGCTCCAGCAGTGACTAATGAATGGAATAAAATGGTAAGTATCATGCATCACAGACTCTATCTAGATTCATTTATGCTCGCGTACCATCAGATCTGGGTAGGTGGCAAATTTCTGACCAATGAGGGCAGCATTTCCTCCAACGTACAGCTGAAAAACAGATCAAAGTTACATTTCCGAAAAGGTAAAGAAGGAGTAAACAAAAGAAGGGAGATGAAAGGAATGAGCTTGCCTTGGCACCGGGGTACTCTGCTGCTGCGCGAGCGATTCTCTGAAACACTTCCTCATCGCTGAAGAATCGCTCTGCCGCTGCTCCGCGCTCCATGTAGTGGATGAAGGTTTCCCTCAGGTCATCCTTCGAGCGCAGGACTTCGTGATCCCGGCCGACGCCGGGATCCACAGCCAGAGCTTGCAGCAACCCCACGCCGCTGACGACCACGTCGACGCAGGCGTTCACTCTGAACGAGAGAACCAAAATGGAAACGAGTCGCTTAGGTCCGATGACGGGACTCAGTGGTCAAGGACGACCGGAAGAAAATGGATTTTGTTTATGTCGGGTACTGGAAGAAAATGCAAAACTGCTAAAGACATCCAATTAATGCAGTTGATAAGGCAAGCAGTCCACGTTTTTAATCTTGCAACGATGAGTGGAAAAAAAACAAAAAAAGGCATGTCCTGTGGTCATGTGATGCCTGTTGAATATTTTATTTATGCACAGAACCAGGCTGTTCCTTTAATAAACTCTGGCCTTTATTACAGGTGAACACACACTGACTGCTCAATGCTATCATACACCACCTTTACCAATACACTTTAGATAAAAGGTTATAAAAACTCAAGGTGCTGCATGTCCCGCCCTCTGGTGGGCCGTGCTTCAGGCTCAGCCAATCACGTTCTGCCACCCGAAGCGCAGATTGGTTTTATTTTTTAAACCATAACACTGAATATTAAAGTTAGAGTCATCAGCTTCCCTGATGAAATCAGACAAAATTCCTCATATTTCTACAGAAATTTCTTACATATACTGCTTTCAAAATAACAAAGACTTGAATCTCCAGAGTTTAACAAGTAGATTTTATTGACGTGCTAAATTGGAACAATGAAACTAACAAGCAACAAGGCCAAGAAAATAGAAACAATTTATGTTTCTTGTGTACCAACATTGATCTGAACTATGGAAACTCAAATGCATGGGTAGAAAAAATATGACAATCAAAATTTTTCCAAAAATTAAATATTCAAAATCCAAACATTCGATGAACCGATGGATAAATCGGGCAATAAATCGATTGAAGGACAATTTGACCTTCACCCTACACTACACACGGTGTAACCCCTCACTCATGCACCTGCTGTTTTCACCGAGACATCTGAGCAGAAGCTGACTCATGACAATGTCAGCTTAAAGAAAAATCACTGAAGACTCAGACCGGCTCCACAGATCAGCGTCACTCACCCCACTGCCACCTTGCTCCACTGCCTGCTCGGCAAGGCGATCAGAGCCTCCCAAGCAGCAGAGATAGCCCGCTCTAGGCCCTCGTTGCTCCGCGACGGCGTCTGAAGGTTGGGCAGGCCGATGTACTGGAGGATCTGCTCCGGGAGCTCCGGCCTGCCGCCGTAGAAGTACCCGACGGCCAAAGCCAGCAGGAGCGCCGCCGAAGCCTTCCTCCACATGGTGCTTCCCACACAGTCCTGCGGCAACAGGAAGACTCACTTTCATGTCGGATTGTGGCGTTTTAAGAATACACATGACACGGAATTCCTCAGATCAGATTGAGTTAGATATTAGTGGCTGGTTTCTTACTGACTGCAGGGCTGGATAAATATGTGGAATATATGACTAATAAATGTCGACAGAATCTCCCGCCGGATCTGTACGTCTCTCTGGAGTTGGCTGCTTCTCTGATCAATGCTGTTTGCTCATTGATGTTCACTATTCTTAGGAATATTGCAATAAATCAATAAATTGCATGATAAATGATTGTTTTTCTATTTCTCCCAGCCAAAAACTGGATGATCAAATTCTTCAGTCTGGCTTTTCAGTCTCAACCAGCCAGTTTTTGGAGAACAATTTTCTTTACAGAGACTTCATAATTCATTTTATTTGTTGTTTCTACTGCTTATTTATTTTGGATATGTAAAATGTCTTCCAGTTCTATAGCTGAATATTTATTAGAATTTAAAGTTTATGATTTTTGACAATGTGTTCTTGCTGTTACCATTGTATTATTTGAAACTGGTCTCAAAGCAACAATATTATCATTAATCGCAGTAACTTCTGGGACAATTTATTATCCAGAAAAATATATCATCATGATATTCCTGTCTCTAATAAACCGCAGTGGACTACAAAGTTAATGATGATTTCTGAGGACATGTGGTCAAATCAGATTTTATTAAAGAGTATTGTGTCAAGGATGTTGACGTAAGAATAAGATTTTTTTTTATTTGGAAAAATATTTGAAGACAGCCTAATTTTAACTTTACGTTAGGCAATGGATTGCACACAAACTGGGAGAGGGCTTTGCGTATCGATCTGAACATCAGTGAGGTTGATACTTTTGTTGGCAGGACATGAAAATTAAAATAATCCCACTTCACCACACAACTAATTAATTCAGTCCAACACAATCAGGCAAAACAGATAAATAAGAAGGTGGTTTTAAACACACCCACTAACATGACTTTTTTTTTTCCTCCAGGGGATTATTAGCGCAACACAACGATTAGAGCAAGTTCAAACTGAGGTCCATTTCCAGTGAGTAATCCAGTTTTTCATGAGCTGAAAGCGAACACCGGTGGTGTTTTGAACAGCATCGCTGTCCAGAACATTGAGGACCAGCAGACTGGGCACGCGAGCAGCGGTAAAGTTGCTGCTAACGTGGACACGCTAGCTGGATCTTTTCAAGTTAGCAAACCCGAAACCAGCGAGCCGCTATGACCCGGCTAAACCAATTAAGACACAATAACGGCAACTCAACGCTTTGGCAAACTATCTAACTTACAGCTTCGGTTCTTACAGGAGAGAGTAACGCTGCTGGTTAGTTAGAGGTAGCGGGACGTACCAGGCGGTAACGTGCAGGTTTGTTAGCCAGGAAGACGATCCAGTTTCCTGGTTGAATCACAGGAAGAACATTCAGCCCGTTTAATTCCGCGACTGGTAGTCAGCTAAGGAGGAGAAACTACAGTCGGCACAATTCATTGAAGAAGCTTTAGCTGGGAGTGACAGGAGACACAGCCAGCACTCCAACCAGCAGCCGCTTCGAATCCGCGACATGCGCATGCGCCAAAAGCCTTCCTAGGGGAAATGCTGCGTTCCCGTGCTGTCGGAAATAGCCTCAAAGCGAAGTGTAAAAAATTAAAATAAAAATACCTGCTCAGCTTTCATCCTTAAAGTCTCTCTCTCTCTCTCTCTCTCTCGCTCTCTTTATATATATATATATATATATATATATATATATATATATATATATATATATATATATATATATATATATATATATATATATATATATATATATATATATATATATATATATATATAACACAAAGCCTCTGTTGGCTTTTTCCTTATGTTATAGCTACATACATTTTATACAATATGTGACTGAGTGCCAGTGATTGGATTTGAACACAACAGAGTTCAATACAGTTAATGTCAAATTAAGGTTTTCCCCAAACCACAGAAAAAACACGGTAAACATTTCAAACAAGGGGTTCTTAATGGACATTTTTGCCAACTATACCATGTGGGACAGACAAAACACGTTTGTATTTGCATGTCAGCTCTAACTCAGTTGACTGAAATAGTCCAAACCCTCTCAACATGTCATAATGTAAACAGAAAAGCAGACAATGGCACATAATTTTTTTTTTTTTTTAAGAAAATGTAAAAAAGATTTGCGTCTTCTCCAGAGTAAAGCATTTTCTCCACTCAAGTCAAATGGCTTGTCCCAAAAAAGCAGAAATAAGCTGGTGATGAATCATCATAAAGGAAAATATTTCTTATTCTTCTTCCTTCAGCTGAGCAAGCTGAAGGACATGCAGGCTCCAACATGTCGACGAGCGCCAACATGTTGGCGCCCGTCTCCCATCATGAGGAAGAAGTGAAAATGAAACATTTAATTGTGGGGGGGGAGGGAGAATTACAAGTTGGGACCTTTTTGAATGATTTATTAAAACTTCAATGTGAAATTAAAAAAATAATCATGCAAACAATTAAAAAAAGAAATTTGATTTTAAAAACAGTCGCCACATTGCAGCTAAAGACTGTTGAATACAGCATTTGCTTTTGTTGCCCCACATACCAGTTTTGTTGGGTCAAATGCTTGACTGGGACAACTGTAAACCAAGACATCTTTAAAATAACGGGACGGTAAAGTTCCAAGTAAAAACACGCAGCTCCTGCTCCGGCTTCGCCGCCTTGCATCCTTGCTTCTGAAATTTGCCCCAATGGATGCAAGTGGCATTTCCATTTCACAGCCGCAGCTCGATAAAATAAAAGTGTGTTGAAAAGTTTTACGCCCGTCAGCAATTTAGCTCAGAAACTGAAACTCGTATTATGGGAGAATGTGGATGTTTGTTGCATAATTCTATGGAGAAATGATGCAGTGTTGTTGCCTACGTGACCTCATTTAAGCCTGTTTGGTGATTGAAGCTTACACCACATATAAACACACAATATTCCATTTCAAAAGAATGTGAATATTACATGACACTTGTAAAATAAAAAAAATAAACTAATAGAGAACTGACACTATGTTTACATCATGGCCTCTCGATCACGGTAAAGACTCCCGGCTTGACAGTTGTCCAGCAGATGGTCATTAAAATCCTTTATTAAGAAGAGTGACGTGTCAAAACATATCAATGGAAAGTTCAGTGGAAGGGAAAAAAAGGTGAAACGGAATATTGACAGTGCCTTGCTCATTTGTTGCTTTGTTTTGATTCTGTGACACAGTTTGTGTGAAAAAGGCTGTTAGATTTTGCCATATATTAGTAAATCCAAAAGAAAATAAAAATCTTCTAGAAAAAGCCTCTCATTTTGAAAAAAATCAAGCTCAGTGTCTGGAAGAAGACCCAAGTTGATTTAAGCTTTTGTGTGCATATTATTCAGGTTTTCAGAGAAACTGAATTTGATTCAAGTCACAATGACCAAAATGAGCTTGAAAGGTCTCCTGGATTTCTTCTCCTGAGTCAAATGAACTGTTCCAATGGTACTGCAATTCGTTGAAATGTCGCCATAATTCTGCCAGTTTTGGGTCTTTGGACCGTGCCGCCTGTTAGGTATTGTGGTCAGGGAGAATAGAGGCGCTGAAGCTGACCCGGACATCTCGGGGGTAGAAACCCTGCAGAACTCCGTCCACTACGATGTCCGGGAGGCCTGGAAGACAGAGGGCAGGGTTTGTTTGATCTGAACACAGACTGTCTCTCTGACAAGTCGTTTCAAAGCTACCTGATGAGCTGCCATGCAGATAAGGATCCTGGAAGAAGCCCAGAACCCGTTGCTGTGGTAAATGGAAACTGTGGAAACGAAAGGCGGAAACAAAGGGAAACGTAATTAATCGATTAATTGAAACAGTAACCTTCATCTGCCATGTTGAAACTGAAGGATGTAGTGGGGCTTGGAGAGAAATCAGAGAATTATTTTCTCTTTGAAGATTTATTTTTTGAAAGAAAATTTTGAAATTCAGATACATTTTCCCTCCCAGACCCCAACAACACACTTGGGTTTCCATAGTTCGGAGTGATGTCAGCAAACCCAGGGCGGCCATCTTGTTTCACAAGAGTTTACAGCTTCTATTTATTTATTTATTGAATTCAGGCCAACTCCTCAACAAAAGGGTCAAGATACATGTTTGTTTGTTTTTTTAATTATGAGAATAAAGTCATAACACTACACCAATACAGTTCTAAAACAATAAAGTCGACTCTTAATCAACATACTTAATCTTTTAACACCTAAGCATTAAATGATCAGGATCAGGATTTTGAAACTATTGTGTTGTTTCGAAGGAGCTACACAAACTGAGGCAGTCATGTTGAATCCTAATAAGTGAGATTTTTTTCTCCTTGAAACAACGTTTCTCGTCATTTTTAAGACAATTGTTTCTGGCAAAATTGCGTCAAGAAATTGCTACATTTCTTGCAATTGCACAAAAATTCTCGTAGCTACGTCGTCCAAATCAGCTTAGGAACGATTGAAATAAAAATATTCTACTTAATTTTAGAACAAAAAGCAAGAAAAAAAAAAAAGAAAATCAGATTTTACTTTTAAGCCATGTTGCCCATGCTCAGCGAGTCGAGGCGTGTCCGACTTCATCTTTAGACATGCGGTCGTGACAGATGTTAAATATAAAAATCTAACTGTGCTTCCGGACGCACTGAGGTTTGGTGCAGCAGAGTGCTGCTTTACGAGACGCAGTTTGGTGCAGAAAGCATTAGACCAGTGGAGCGGCTCCTAAGTGTGTCACGGTGTCGGCTTTGTGTCACGCTGCGTCATCAAGTGACCGGAGAGCGGCGTAGCCACGACGCCGCCCCCGGAACCGCATTCCATCTGCGCTCTGAACCACAAACGCTTTCAGGACATTCCTGGTCTGCCGTCGCCACGGACATGAGGTGAACATCTTCTGCCTCCGTTTGTGTTCAGAGCAAACAGGATGCATGTTGGCGGCCGCCTCAGCGCCTCCAACACTCATTTAAGTTTCCAAATGTAAAGGGAGAGTTTTATTATACTTTGCTGAATTTACTATGATAGAAAAAGTTTCTTTTAATGAAAGTACAACAGTTTTATTAAATCATTTACCTCTCACTAGCAAATAATAATTGTAAATAAGTGACTGACGCTGACAGTTACTCCCCTGGAACCAGCACATTATTAAAAATGATCAATATTAGCATTCCGGCTGAAAAGTGCAGGTTTTATTTCAGCCAGGGGGCAGCGCTGCCTCTTTCTCTTCCCGTACATGTGCCAAATCTGGTCAAAATTACGCCTGTGACAATAAATCAGTTAACTGCATGATAAATTAAAACTATCAATAATTTCCATTTGCAGAGTTTATTGTTTTGTCCTTTTCCGTTTGTCTTTCGACCAAAATCCAGATCACTAAAGTCTTCAGTCTTGTTTTTTGGTCTCAACTTAATTTTTTTGTTTGTTGTTTTAGTTTATTTTGGGAATTTAAAATATCTTCTAGTTCCAGTGTTAAGTGTTTGTTATAATTTTACATTTATTGTTCTTTGAGAATATGTTCGTTACCTTCACTTAAAAACCGTCTCAAAGCAACAATATTATCATTTATCGCAATAATGTCTGGGACAATTTATCGTCCAGTAAATTTTGTTACAGTGACAGGTGTCGTAAGAATCAATGAAAAACCCTCAAAATTTCACAAAGTTTGAGTTTTACACATCATGGTCTCAAATGGCTGTGATAAAATCTGATATTAATGCTTTATAGTTCAAGGAGCAGAAACATCTCAGCTGACTGAAGCTACTTGAGTGACCACGTTTAATTGTGTGTTAGATGATTAACAAACTACTTAAAGTGATCCTCATTTAGGTTTTTCTCCCTTTTTGTCTGATTGTTCTCAATGTAAAAACTTACTTGTAATCCTGACTGTCCAGTTCTTCCAGTGACCTAAAAATAGAATATTAAAATATTAGATATTACACTCAGAACGATTTCATTTTGCTTTTAAACAGACAAACAGCAACGACTCGATCTGAGTTGTCGCTGCTGCTCCGGGGGGCAGGAATGTTGCCGCATTGCCCCCAATCTGAAAATAGAGGCAACAAATATAGCAACGCATGCAGCATTGCCGGCCGGCTCCCTCAGGAGAGCAGGCTGCCGGACTCACTCGACGCTGCTGATCTTGTTCCCCGTGTGGAAGTGCTTCAAATGGAGGAAGTCCAGCAGCACTTGAGGCACGTCTTCATTTTGATAGATAATTTCCTGATGCAAAGAGAAAAACGCACGACGGTGAGTCAGGGCCGATGTAGACAGGCAAGACAAAGAGAGGAGCAAATTTCTGCCAGAATTATGAGCTTTTTCTCGCAGCTTTTCAACTTTTGAAACACAGAAATTTCCATGTTTTTGCTATCAAATCTCTGTGTCAAGGCTCAAAATTAGATTTTGCTTTTTTTCACCAAAATTTGGATTTTTGAATCTCAGATATTTTCTTTTTTTTTCCAAGAAAATGTCTGAGATGAATCACAAAATTTCTGAGTTTTCTTTTAGGCAGAAATGTACTTTTTTCTGATATACATATGTCATCGTAGAAACAAGAAAATTCCTGTCCACATAAACTGGACTTTATTGTTATTATCAAAATATGATGCCTCTGCTTCTTACCTGTATGTAATCTTCCAGCTCCTGCCGCCTTTGCTCCAGAGGTTTGGTCCTCAGATGGGGGTTCCTTTTGCTCGGAAAATCAGGAGTCTGGATGATCTTCTTAAGCTACCGGCATCACAACAGCACGCACACATACAAAAATAATTTTATTTTATGGTTTCAGAAGCCAAAATATATTTCAAATCATTTTACGGCTCTTCAACCCGATTTTAAACATTGGGTTTAAAATCCTGATGTTTTAAACTCGATTCTAAACAAAATATTCATTTTGTTTTTGTCTTAAAACAGACAAAAACAAAATGAAACCCTCCAAAAGGTTTAAGAAAGCAGGACAAAAGGAAGTCTGATATTGACGTATACCTTCCTGTGGAGCGTCTGGAATTCGCTGTTTCTTCTGAGTACATAATGTTTCCTCTCGTTAAACAAGACTTCAACTCTGAAAAGCTGCAAAACAGAAAATAATAATCAAAAACCTAACTTCTTCCCAAAAAGTGTAACTCTTCCAAGATAGATTAATCAGAAGTAAAAAAGTAGAATGAGGAAGTAAATGATTTTCTCAAGCCAAGTTTCACCGTGGAGAGGACAAAAACATGTAGGATGCCAGCCCTCCATGACCCACTTTGGCCACCGCTGTTCTAATTGATCTGTCAGCAGACTGTCAGTACAGAAACAACTTGCCTCTCCAGCAGGAGGCAGTAAAGAGCTTCAGACTTGCCCCCCCAGGATATTTGCTGCACACTTCTCTTTCTGCTGCAACGAGTAACAATACTTTAAATAAATCCAATGTAATTTGCAAAAAATTTGAATCAACCTCTTAGACTTAACGAGACATCAGAACTGAACAAATAGGCAAAAAAACAACAAAAAAACAAAAGAGTGCTTCTAAGAAAAAAAAAATCAATAAATGTTGAACTTTGCTTTCGTTTCCATAAACATAAAAAGATAAAACCAGGGCGAGTTGCTCATGTTCTGCACCACAGGCTGTCTGATTCACAGTGAGCCAAATTCCTCACTCTGGTGCCTCCGTTGGCTCTGAATGTGGCACGTTGCTTATAGTAGCCTTCAGTGTGCTAGAAAGCACATATGTTCCTTTTAGCCATTCTTTTTTTATCTACTCAGGTTCTGCTTCAGTTTCAGCACAAAATAAGACTTTTGTAGAGCAGTCTTGTAGTTGCAGAGGTTTCTGACTGTGCTGCATGATTGCTCTGTTTTCACAGGCCTGCTGGTTTACCAAGAGCAGAGCAGCAGAGCAGTCAGCCGGGAGTGAGAAACAAACATTTCCTCTGGATATCAGGTTTTAGTTGGAATGGTTTTGTTGCACAAGTGTCTTTCTGTAATACAATTCTGTAGTGTGAAATTGAATGTGTCACATTGGGTTTAGAAACAAACAATAATTACCGTATGCTGATTTTCTCTGTAAGTTTTGAAATTCTGAGTTTAAATAGGTGTCGGAAAGTAGTCAGCGGTTTCTGTTAAGAAATGGCTAATTCAACGCTGAGGTAGCATTGCCATTTATCGTATCAGTTATCACGATAAATGATACTTTTCACTGTTGTCACGATACATTCTAATTAAATACATTCAAAACCCTCAGAACTGTCCATTTTGTTGGGACCATTTTCTTCACTGTTTATTCAATGAGTATCAAAAAATACAAATACATTTGTAATTATGATTAAATGCCATTACTGTGTACAGTTTGTTATTGGTGTCCTAATGACACATATTATAAATATGTGTGTTTGCCAAGAGACATATTTGTGCCCATGTATGTTTGCAGTCACAGTCTAAAAAAGTAGTAAAGATTTCTTATCGTCACTATGATGGATATTGCAATAACACCACCAAATATTGCGATAAAACTAAGTCCATATTGCCCACTGTTCTGACATTTAGTCCTTTAGGTCTCTGGTGGGACAGTGGTTCCAGTTCCTAACTGGTTTAACTGGACCTGAATGTCAAAGCAGGGATAAAAAAAAAAACCATTCATACCAAATAGGCTGCCTTATATTTCAGGGCAGCATGAACACTAACTTTTGTAAGCGGATTAAAAAGCCAGTTCCCCAAACCTTTCAACGTCAAGCCTCCAAAGCGTTTGCAAACCTGTTCATTGATTAACAATTCAGCGTTACCAAAAGGGTATTGTTGTGTTTTAATATGTCTATTAGCTATGTTAGTTTCTCCCTCAAGACTTCACACTTCAGGCTTCTGTAAAATAGAAACAGGAAAATATACAGAAATACACTAAGAAGCATAAAACGTCATACATTTTTGAAGATGATGCAAACGGAGGCTTTTTATTGTCAGTTAATCAAAATGATCAACTACAATTGAAAAATGGTTAAATTTTTAGCAGCAACACAAGCCATAGGTCACAAAGCGTTTTAGATTTTCTTCAACATTATAGTAAATAGAAAAAATTCTAGATGCTGATTTTTACCCAAAAGCATTTTTTCCATGCACCTCAATCTGCTTCCATTAATTTAATTAAACTAAGCGGAAAAAGACAAACTTTCCCAAATCATCTTCCACCGGTAAAATTCAAAGGATTTTTTCCCAAATGATCCCATTTAGCTCACTATAAATCAGAATATATATTATTATAATGTTTTTTAGACAAAACCCTGTGTAAGTTCCAGATTTTCAATTATTTACATACTACTGTCTCCACAAAAAATCTACTTGAGTAGTTTTAAATATTTGTTTAGTCCGTTGTTGAGCTGCTTTAAAGACGAAAAAAAAAAAAGAAATCACAGCAAAATCTTTCTGAAAATATATAAATACTTGACTATTCTGACTCGCGCGAGACGTGAAGTTTGGACCCTCTGTGGGTTGAACTCCCTCTTCTCACAGGTAAGACTCACCTGGCAGCTTCATTCTCCGGCACAGAATCACACCTGGTGCCAAATTACACGCCGAGGAGGCGCGTGTTTGTCTGTGACCGTTTTCAAACTTTCTCAATAAGTTTGGGAAGGAGGGATAACAAAAAAAAGCGAAGAGCCGAGTTTTAGGCAACCTGGACCGCGCTCACCTTCTTCGACTTGCCAGACTCGTCCACCTCCTTCTCCAGCGACGGTATCGACACCTCAATCATGTTCCTCCAGCGCCGTCCGCCTCGACTTTCCGTCTCCCTTCGACTTTTTCCGCGGCTGGAGAAACTTCAGGCGAAGAGCCAGCGGCTTTCCCCCCCAGTGTGTCGGCTCAGGTTAGGTGGAGGAAAGTGAGTGGGTTCTCTTTTTCCGGTAGGTTTGCTCCTGTGTGTGCTCCACCCACTCACTAATTGGACAAACCCCTACAGGACATTAAAGATGCAGTCGGGGCTTTTGAGGACTTTACATTGTGAGAGTGAGGCGGCAGTGAAATGGGAAGCTGCTGTGGTGCCCATGTGAGCTTTAATGCGGAGTTGTTTTGTTTTAAAGTTTGATTCCCAGTAAGTTCTATGGAAGTCCAAAGTGGCATTTGGACAGGGCTCACACACACACACACACACACACACACACACACACACACACACACACACACACACACACACACACACACACACACACACACACACACACACACACAAATAAAATTACTAGAATAAAGTCATTATTATGAGGATATAGTTGTACAAATGTAAATCAAATGTAATATGAGAAGACTGATTTAGAAAATACAGAAAAAAAGTCGTAATATGACCAGAGTAAGGTTGTCATACCAGCAGAATTTATAAAAATAAAGAAAAAAAAACCTACAGAGAGCTGGAAGTGAAAAACAAACATCAGGTGTACGATGAATCAGTTTGCCTCATTGGCTGATTTGGCGTTTACAGCTTTATTTTATAGGAACAAAGATGGTTATTTCAAAAATCATAAAGCTCCAACAAAAGGCATCAAACTAATTGGCCTTTTTTTTTGGAAAAAAATGAAAATCATTGCTTTATTCAGTTGTCTCTTGTCTCAGTCTCTCACTGTATTCTCTCTGCTTAAGCTTCTTCTAAAAAGCCAAGGCACCCGGGCTTCAGACAACTTCCAGAAAGTGCCTTGTAACTTTCAAATCCAGCTTCACTTCCTGCTGTGACTCAAACACAAAATAAAACCAAAAACAACTGGCGGCGAAAAAGGGATCTAAGCCCTGGATGCAGAACCACACTGCTCTCCTCACATCCCTTAAGAACTGCAGCTCACCAGACGCTGCAGCCGAGAGCAAGAGAAAAAAAAAGTTAATGTTTGATTCCTAAAATATTGTTCTCCTCCCAAACTGCCCAACGTGAACAATGCTCCGCCACTCGTGGCTCATTTTTCAGAGATTAATCTCAACAGGAGACACGTGCTCCACCTGTGACCCTCATCACGGGATTTAGATCTTCCCATCCCTTGTGTGTTGCTCACACAGTTTAGCAAATCAAGCAGGCAGAGGAGATGACTTAATTAAGGGAGGATGTGTGACCTTACAGGGTGAAAATATCACCGCTGGGTGAACACATAAGAGTTTTTTTCTCCCTTTGCCTGCTGTCTCAGCACATATTTCATTACCACTTTAACAAATGTCTTCCTCATTGTGCCTAAGCTAAAGGTACAGTCCACATGTGATGGGTCAGTATCGTCTAGAGCACATGTGTCAAACTCAAGGCCCGGGGGCCAAATCCGGCCCACCGTAGCTTTTTATGTGGCCCTCCACAGACTAGACTAAACACTAAGTGTGATTAAATATTATATTATCAATCATATCAATGCAGTTTTTATCTTTTACTGCCAATTTATATCAATCAGTCCCTCCAGTTTCTTGAGAATTTAGTTGATGTATGATTATAGTCCATGATTTATACAGCGAGTAAATATACAGTCACATTTATTATTAGTTCCTGAAGGGACTGAAAAGATCTTCAATAATATTATGTAATTTTAAGAATTCATTGACATATTAACAGTTTGTGAACAGATTTTATCAACACATTCTGCCACAACCGGCCCTTTAAGAGCATTCATGATCTTGATTTGGCCCAAAACGAAAATGAGTTTGACACATCTGGTCTAGAGAGATATTAATACTTATTTAAAGATGGTACATCATCAAACGTCTGACCTTTGTGCTTCTTGTGGGTTTTCCTTTGAATTGTTTGGTAAAACCTTTGACAGAATTTAGGTAAAGTTGATTAGCTTGATACCTTCAAAAAGTCCCAACACAGACTGTTGAGCCACAGCATCTATAAAATGTCTAAATCAATATTGGCTGTTCTATATAGTTCCTTAATTTTCAAACCGTGTTTTGCGTCCTCCTTTATTGGCTGTTGGTGTTTTTTTCCCCCTCTTGCCTGTTTTTGTCTGTTTTCCTGTCTGATCCCTTTATTTGTCTTGCTTTCTAGAGTTTTCCTGATTTTTCCGGTTTAAGGTAACGGTTTAAATCTATTTCTGTTCTGCAAGTTCAATCTGTTGTTCTAAACCATACACTATTCATTCTACTCATAATAGAAAAAGAGTGTGCTGTATTTTTAATCAACATTTCCTATTTTGGTTATCATTTTCCTCTATCTTTTTTAATCATATACCAAACTCGACTGTGAACTCATCAACCAGGATAGTGGCGTGAATATTATTATTTAAGTCAGTGACAATTAGACAATTAACTAAAAATGAATATTCAATTGATAGACAAACTGAATATTCTGTGGATGGAAAGTTATTTAAGTAGCTCATCGGCATATTTAAACAGGCTTAGTGACATTTGAATTTGTTCTTGAATTTGAAAGTAGGTCAGCAAAACTTCCCAAACTGGACAGACACACCAGCTGGTTTTGCAGCCGTGATGCAATTTGTCCAAACTAGAGTGTGAATGAAAGAGAGCGCTGTCGCCCAGATTAGGGAGCGTTATCCGAGGCATTCCTGGGATATATCCAAAGACAGAGCAGGGCATTTTTATCAGAAAGCAGCTCCTTGCAACAGTAGAAGGAAAGAAATGTGGTACATGAGTATATTTAATTTAAGGTTGAGAGACGTCTTAAATATTTTATGTAGAGGAAAACAGGGCAGCTGTTTTAAGACTTGAACTGACATACGTGGCTGGACTATCATATTTGAGGATTCAAATTTGATCAAATGAAAAAAGAGTTAGGAGTTCCCTCTGCTGGACAAAAAGTTTAAAGCCACTACTATATCCACATGACCCCACTATTAGGATTTCCTCGTGAGAATGTGATTTCTTCTAACTCCTTCAACTAAAAGAGTGAATTTAAAATAATCCACACCTTACAATATGAAAAGTATGGAAGCATATTTGAATTTGAATTACAAAATATATCTGGGATCTTCTTTAAAACTGCACATGAAAGGGTAGGGTTAGAGTTTCCTTTCCTTTTCCTTCAGGAAAAGGAAATACATCTGGGTGATATCAAATGACAGTTCTCTTCAAGAACACCAAGACATTGTGTGTTTATTTAAGCCCCACAGGTTTTTATTGTGTAAAATGGATTGGACTGCCCTGTTGCTGAAACGTATTAAACAAATAAACCTGGTTGATTCATTGAGTTTTATCTAAGATTGATTAAACTGTGCCTCCTGGGCTTCCGTAGTTTGTTCCAGCCCTCGTAGCTCCTCCCCTTTTACCCTCACAGCCTCGTTCCGCTGCTTTGGGTAAGTCAGAGGAAAGTTCGCTGCTGCTATAAATGTTTGATTTCTGTATGGATGTTGTTGTTCATTTTGAGGTCTCTACCATATGTAGTTTATTATTGTGTTATTTTGCAGTTTTGACCATCATTGTGTTTTTTTAAAAAGGTTTTAGTATAAATTTCGTTCTTTAATTTTGGCGCGAACAGCCGTTGCTAGCTCGGTAGGACCGGCTAGCAACGGCTGAACATTGTTTTTTTTTTCACATTTAGGGCTGAAGTGCAGGGAGAGTGAGCAGAAGAGGAGGTGGGTTTGTTTTTAGTCTTCTCCCCCAGGTATGTGTTTTTAATTTAAGTTATACTTTTTATCTCTTTATATTTAACTCTGTCCCACTGTATTGTGTTGTTGTGGCCACCAGGTGGCGTTTTTCCTCCTCTTGTTTTTAGTTTATAATTTTTGGGAGGAGATTTCTTTTTTGTTGAATCTGGAAAACAAAAATGTTAGTACACAGCGGCTGCTGGGGGGCTGGAGTGTTGATGTTCGTTTCTTAATCAGACCAGATGAATTCTTAACATTTTTATGTGAAGTATAACTTCCATGATTAGTTACTTATTTACAGTCATATGTTAAGAATAATTTACATTATTATTATTATTTTTCACCAAATTTAACTTGATTGTAATTCCAAAAAGGTGACGTGAAACATAATTAAATTCAAAGCATGATTTATTTTGGAGAGAGGAAGTCTTTTATTTTGAAAAATGCTTGACAGCATCTACTGTCTGGCCTTCTGTTGATTTCGGTTGCTAGGTTACGAACCGTTGTGGCCTTCTGTTGATTTCGGTTGCTAGGTTACGAACAGCCCTTGCCCTTATTCAGCTGTTATATTGTTCAATAAAAATTTGAACAGAAAATGTTAAGCAAATCCATATGTGCCTCCGTTAAAATCTATTTCAGCCATTTCCTGAATCAGAAGCTTCAATCAGAGGCCAACTTCAGCTTTGATCCAGACGGTCAGTTAGGAATGCCGCCACAGCTAAAGGACCAGACTGACATTTCCTTCGTTGCGTCGCGTTCTGTTTAGGATCCTCCTCGGAGTGCGTGTGCTATTAATGGTTTCAACCACAGTGCTCACATTTGAACAAAATACACATTGCGTCAAAGATAAATATTACATAGCGCTCAAAATATGCGTCACATCAAAGCGCTTCCATACAAATCAAACCAAAATCAATACTGTTCCATCTGAGGACAGTCAAGTTTAAAACTCAGTTATGTTTTTCAGTTCAATGTGTTTGGCTCATTTGTCTACCCTGGGCCACACATATACACAAGCATGAACAGTAGCACACGGCTAATGGGATTAAAGATTTTTTAAAAAATGTGTATAACATCCCCTCTAACACAAATGAAGGATTGTGGCTTTACTGATGAACAGTGAGGTTCATCGAAGAAAATTCTGAGTTTCACCGTAATAGATGTATGCGCAAACAAACACACAAAAAGGACAGAATAAGCTAAAAAAAAACACTCTTACAACCAGAATGTTCCAACTAAAAATAATGTTCACTTCTAAAAATATCAACTCTAATTCAAAACTATGCCATAATGTTTATATACAATAAAGCAAATTCACAATTTCAATCAATCAAAATTATTTGCTTACTAATTTACTTATTTATTTACTAAAGAATCACCTTGTGCCTCCATCAAGATGGCCGATAATAACAAGACAAATTTTAACACATTGTTGCAACTTGTCTTCTGTTCCTTTCTGTCCTTAAGCTGCCATTCTACAACACGTATA